GTTGTGTGCCTTCTCGAGGTGTTTGAGAGTCACCTCTGTGTAAGTGGTGTTTAGAGTTGAGCACGCATAGCCCCATACTCTACCAGCAAGACGCTTCAGTACATTTAGTCTATTGGAGACCCGTTCTGCTATTTTGGCAATATGACTTTTCCACGTTAGCTTGGTGTCAAACGTCATTCCGAGTTACTTTTCCACGTTAGCTTTGTGTCAAACGTCATTCCGAGAATGTGAACTCATTGGTTTTTTCTATGGTAGTATCCTTGTTAAGTGAACTCATTGGTTCTTTCTAGGGTAGTATCCTTGTCCAAGAGCGGGTTTATGCTCTGATGGGCCAAAGAAAATGTTGTGAAGGGGATTATGCTGTGATGGGCCAAAGAAAAAGTTTGGAATGCAGTTTATGCAGTGTTGATTACCATTCCTTTGTTGTCACACCAGTTTGCTTGTAATTTAAGTGTACAATTTAAAGCACTTTCTGTCCTCTCCTGAGCGTTTTTCTTAGGGGTGGCAGATCATCTGCGTAAAGTAAGCACTTGGTGCCCGTGAAAAATCATTTTTTCTTAGGGGCGGAATACCATAGAACAAGATCATCTGCGTAAAGTAAGCACACGGTGACTGTCTGTACCAATTCGGCTATATCATTGATGGAACGTGAATTCGGCTATGTCATTGATGAGGACATTGAAAAGAGTGCAGGTTGTGACAGCTTCCTGTGGACCCTGTGAAAGGCCTGTTTGTAAAGGATTGGATTTTGATAGAGCATTTAAGCTGTTTGTAAAAGATTGGATTTTGATAGAGCATTTCCAAGGCAAAAGATTGGATTTTGATAGAGCATTTCCGTATCTGAGAGATCGGATTTTGATAGAGCATTTCCATATCTGACTTAACTGCATCTGATAGATCATTTCCATATCTGACTTTACATGATCTTTGTCCAATGAAAGGATTTCCGTATCTGACTTTACACGATCTTTGTCTAATGAATCTTATCCAGTTTAGCATGTTATGCTTAATACCAATCTATATCAATTTAGCATGTTATGCTTAATACCAATCTTTGCAATTTTTAATTTAGCATGTTATACTTAATACCAATCTTTGCCGATTTTAGAATTAGCTTCTCTTTCCATACTAAGTCACATGCTGATTTGAAATCGACGAAAACAGCATATTTCTTGCATCAATGGCATCTTTGATGTGTTGGAAGACCTGGAAATCGACGAAAACAGGCGTAAGATTATTTCTTGCATCAAGTGCATCTTTGATGTGTTGGGAGAAAGTGGCTACTTGTTGGTTCCTTGACATTTGTGGCCCAAAACTTGCTTGTTCATTCCTAAGAATATTGTTTGTCTCAAGGAACCAGGTCAGCCTTAACCATTCTTTTCATAAGTTAAGCCAACATGCTTGTGAGGGAGATAGGCCTAAAGTTGTCAAAGTCAGTGTGCCTCCTGTTAACCATTCTTTCCATAAGTTTAGCCAGCACGCTTGGGGGAGAGATAAGGCTTTAGTTGTCAAAGTTGCTAGGGTCTTTTCCCTTTTTTAGTATTTGTCAAAGTTGCTAGGGTCTTTTCCCTTTTTTAGTACTGATATTTCTATGGCAACTGTCCATTTTTTAGGTACGACAATGCCCTTCCAGATTTTGCTGAAAAGCGTCAGAATGGTTTAGTTGGCTTTTGGTTTCACTCTAATTAGTAATTCCGGATGAATATCGTCTTCGCCATACGACTTTTTGAACGTTTACTGTTTTTTCGCAGCATTAAGTTTGCAAGGTCGGAATGGTTCAGTAAGTACATTATTTAGTGTTGCCATGTATTGTATCTTTCAATCTTTTGAAGATTTTCTGACAAAAGGGTTTTTTTTGCTTGCGGGAATAGAACCTCGCAAAGCATTTAGTTATTTCGGATTCGTTGGTAAGCAGTTTGTTTTTTAAACGAATTGGTTATTTCTTGAGTCTTTTCCTGCTATTTTGGGGGTTATCCAGGAATTCGAAAGTGCATTGCCTATCACTTTGATATTTGATATTTGAGATGAACTTGTCGAAGGAAGTCCGTTTAGTGATGGCTTGTCTTAGGACAGCTGACTACCGTCTCCAGGCTTTTACGTCTTCCGTTCTTCCAGTCATATCATCAGTGTTGCGAAGGGCGTCCCGCTTTCCTTTTATTTCACCAAGGTGTTTTGACCAAAACACTCTATAATGTTTTATCTTGCCACGCGGAATAGTTTTCTTTGCACATCTGATCATAATATTCGTGGGTACACAGTTTATCAGGATGTTGGTTGAAGTTGAGGGGACTTGGTAGGAATGTTGGTTGAAGATGAGGGGACTTGAATAAATTTCATCCCGTGGGGACTTGTGTGAAGTTCATTCTCCAAAAGGTTTGTGGGGGGACTTGTGTGAAGTTCATTGTCTAAAAGATTAGTGAATCATATCGATGCAAAGTTTGTCAGGATGTTGGTTGAAGTTGAGGGGACGATCGCAAAGTTTGTCAGGATGTTGGTTGAAGTTGAGGGGACTTCTTTGAAGTTCATTCTCTAAAAGGTTAGTGCATCTAGACCAGTCAGCCTTCTTGAAGTTCCATGATAGCTTAGTTGGCACTTTTCTTGTCATGCTTTTGCTGCCGATGGTAATACTAGCAATGACTGGTTTGTGACCAGAACCAGGATTGTCCATTATTTTGTATTGTGTATGCTCGCTGAAGTCGTTTGAAGCCAGGAGTAAGTCAGGCGTTGTTCTGGTTCCACTGCAGTGCAAATATGTAGCCGGATCCTCATTGCTGTAAATAAGTTCCAGAGGGTTGCTGTTTATAAAATCTTCGATTTTATTTAAAGCTATGTTTGTAGCTGGCATGTCTTCAATTTCCTTTCCAGCTATGTGTTGATTAGCATGTCTTCAATTTCCTTTCCAGCTATGTTTGTATCTTAAAAATCTTCGATTTTATTTAAAGCTATGTTTGTTGGAATGGACGTTGAAGACGCCTAATACTACAGTTTTGTGTAAGGAGTTCAGAAAATCAAATTGGGATTATTCTGGGGTGGATTATAGATTGCATATATCTTGAAGTGGTTTTGGCATGTCCAAATAATTAAACTGATTAATATCGCATATGTCTTGTGTCGAGCCCATACTCTTAATTTGATAGTACTGTGATGTATGGCCTTCTTTTACTCCAGTCAGAATTCCACGTACATCTTGCCGGTATTTAGGTAGATTGTACAGGGTGTAACCTGGAAATTGATAGTATTTCAGTTTGTCATCCAAAAGGTTTGCCCCGGTATTTAGGTAGATTGTACAGGGTGTAACCTGGAAATTGATAGTATTTCAGTTTGTCATCCAAAAGGTTTGCGTCCCTTATCGTGAAAATGTCTACATCATAGGTTTATAGTATTTTCTGGACTTGGACCTTCTTTGTCCTGCACATCACTCCAGCATTCCACTGGCGGATCTGAAGACGTTGTGATTCGCTCTGACGAGGGCGATTTCTCTTATAGCCCTATTTCAAGCTAATCATAATAACTGGAAGTCAAATCAAGTGCTGAGTGATCGACTTTTTTGCCGTATGAAGAAAGGTTGTCCAGGGTGCACTACGTGGAGGTAAATTTATCGCGCATCCCATATTGATGCATTAGAAAATGTTAGAGAAATTTTTCTTCAATTAAAGATTTGCTAATCTCACTCAATTGTTGAAAATTTTTATATTTATCATGAATTTTGTATATTTATGTGCAATGAAAGCCTATCAATCGTTTAAAATATATTTCATCAAGGCGTTTGCTTTATACAAGGGAACCGTTACCAGAAGTTTAGTGGTAACAGCCTTGCATGCCTCCACGTTATTCCCAGTTTAAGTACTCATGTTTTTTTATTGCACTTTTAAAGCGCCATCTAAGCCCAAAATCCGTTTTACAGTCTATTGATAAAAATCCTTAAATTTTTAACTGTTCAAAGCATTTTGGGAAATTCAAATGATTCTTTAGGTCTTTTGGATATTACTAAAATTTACGTTGAAGCTGTAGTCTTTTGAATGGTTTCACTTATAAGAAGTACTTAAATCCGAAAAATAACTGGCCTTTAAATGATTGATTATTTTTTTATTCTCGTCTTACATGTCTCGCTGGTGTAGTTACTGAAATAAAAAGTCAAAACCGATTCGAATATCATTGTCATAATTGAAATTTTGTTTAATCTGGTTGTTACAAAATATGTTAACTTTTCATTGTTTGGTAAGAAATATTTATTGCCAAACATCGAAATTAATATTTTTGACGCACTTTGATCTTTGTACATTTGTACATTTCACACAACAGTCTTTAATCTTTAAAAGTAAACATTTTTGTTCAATTTTCTAATACGAACTAAAGAAAGGAAAGTTTTTCTATTTTACAATTTAAGTTAATCTGACAGAGCTAGATTTCAGAATTGAACTATGTTTGAATTAACCTCAGATCAGGTAATAAAGTATATACCAATAACCATAGTTGGTTCAAATATTACTGGAGTCACCTTGAAGCACATTTTACTGTTTATTCGCCTTGATGGGTCAATTCCACTCGATCGCAACACTTCATCATTTACGTTACAAACGTTCTCCTTTTGGTACGTCGGTAGGCATATCTATGTAATTAATATAAAGTCACCAACACGACTTAAAACAACCCATTTCTTACCTTGAAATGCAAATTATGATTATCAGAATCAGTTTAAATTTTGTACTATTTTGAAAATCAGTCTGACAGGTTTTCTGATTTGTTATACTTGATGAATCTGACCATTTGGAAAATATCAAGGCACCATGTTTCCATTAAATCAAGGAAGTGGAGCTCTATGTGCTTGTTAAAAGGAAAGAATGTATTGAATCTGAACCATTTTTAAATCTAAATTTTCATTTAATATGTTGAATGCGAGCTTTCCATTAAAAGGCTCCAAAACAAGATGTAGAAAGGAACCAATACGATTTATAACAGAAAGTGCAATTGTAAAACTCAAATATGACTATCTTTAAGTAATATTAATTCGATTATTTTCTCGTATTTTGCCTATTTTTTTAATGTTGTGCATCAGTTGTCACGCTCGATCATGCATTTGCTCGGTATTTTCTTGCATTCATCAGGTGACGCGGTTTATTTGTTTTTCATCCACACCTTGTGAAAGAGGAAAATTAACACATTCGACGATTAATTCGGTTTACCATTAATGCCGCCTACTCTATAGATTCTTTGTTGCAACTTGCTAGCAAAATTTACACATCTTTACATCACTGGGACTTATCTTTGCACTAATTAACACATCTGTTGGAGGGAAAAGCATAGATACCTATTGATCATAAGAACCCGCTAATAGGCATCGATCAGATCATGAAAACTCGTAATTTGAGTAAAATTAATTGTTGCCCTCTTAAAGTAAATGCAAAATTAAAGATAATCAACGAATGGCATATGGTGCTTTATTAGAGTCGGAATAAGCAAGTTAAAACCAACTTGCATTAACACATCAGAACCTTACCATACTAATGAATTTGAAAATACGAACACTACTAAAAGCAAATAGTGGCACACTTGTGTCAAAAGTGCAATCTAACAGATTTATTAGCATGTGATCAGATGTAGACATTTTGCTTCCACTTGCAGCGCTAAATATCTCAGTGATAATAAGTTATCAACTGGGGTGTGCGATAGACTTATATCCACGTGGTGCACCCTGGGCAACGTATACTCATACGGCATAAAAGTCGATTAACACGGCAGTTGGCTTCTCACTTTAAACGGCATGTCATATTCGACTACTTTCCCAGTACTCACCTTACCTTTTTCTACCTTTTCTACCTTCATCTTTGAAACACCCTTCTGTAAAGACAATTTGAAAATAGCTCATTCAAATGAAATTGCGATTTAAAATCGTGTGTTTGCCATCCAAAATGTTTTTTTTTAATTAGTTAAGCTCATCTAATCAATCTCAACGTTATTTCGTTTGCGCATGTTTTGATCCTATTGTGGGCCACGTTATCGCTTAGTCCGTCATCGCATTCCTGCACACCAGGAATGGGAGGTGCGGCCGCACAATTCTGTGTACAGTGACCGTACTAACAGTGGCCAATCAGTAGCCTTTGTTGTCTAACCTAATCCGCTATCCTGCACACTTTGTTCACAATATACTTACTTACTGTTTGTCTGTTTCCCTCATAGATGGGCTATAGCTTATCTAGTTCTGGGAGTCTAGCCTAATGTAAGTGAATCTGCCACAGAGATTTTTGAGTCAATCAGGCCTTACTAGCATAGCAATGCGCAACACTATAATTGGAGCAAAATACATTAAAACTTACTTCCTGGTGACTGAATAGACGATAAACGTCATTTTGGATTAATTTATAATCACTGACTATCGAATTGAGCAAGGAAACTTGAGATTATTAATTTGTGTTTCAACTTAGATTAAATCAACATTTCTAAATAAATCCAGCTCAGAATCAGATTATTTTTATATGCGATAAACTGCGCTTAATAGTCGCAAAATAGTTAGTTGTAATGGAAATTAGAAAGTTAATGAGAACAGACATTGTTTGTGAAATGCTTTAATAGAATAACGTAAAGAAAAAGTATGTATGCAAATTAGGGGAAATCAATTGCCATAGCTACTGCATTTCACCACACAGTTAACTTAATTGAATTAGTAATAATTCTCTGAATACCATCCTGTACAAATTTTTGAATAGTTGGAGTTAACGTGCCCATGATAGCGTTTTATCGCAACCCATTGCATTCCAAGCTTCTTCTGCAGATTCCAAACATAGTTAGCCATATCGATCGTTCTGAATGTGCAAAACCAGTTGGAGCGTATGACTCACCAAAATCAGTTCATTAGAAACTAAAAAGGTTAGTTAAGTAAAAATGGCAGAATAACATTTGACAATTTGATTGACTTCATTGGACTTTCATCCCAGCCTGTTAATACGCAAAAAGAAGCAAATAGTAAAGACGAAGGTGGCAATTGAAGTTGCTCAGAGTTAAAAGATATAAACTTATTCGTTTCTAGAAATAATAATAATAATAAGACCAAACATTTGTTTTTTTTTGTTTTAAACAAAGAATGAAAATCAGATTAAATAATAGGCATACCACTTTCACACATGTGTAATGCTGACTCCTATCGATATTTTTGAGATATCGTTGAAGAATAGACTTTTTGTATAAGTAGAATTTTCCCTGTTTGTTAAGAATAGATTTTAAATTAAAAAAAACATTTCTTGTCTGCTGGAAGTTAAAATCAGTGCACTTTGAAGTATTTATCTTTTATAAGTTAATCGAACTCGTGATTTAGATAAGCATGTGATCAAAAAAATATGCACAAACAATCATTTATTAAAATTTGACTCTGATGCAAATTACTAAATTAATTGAAGGTTGTAGTAAATCAGCCTTTGAACTCCCACCTCAAATTCTGCAATGAAATAATTCGTCGTCAGTAAAGAAACGCAATTGATTAATTGTTGGAGAAAAAACTTTAAAAAGAATCTCATAGGTAGACACATTTCAGTTAATACATTTCCCACATAGTTTGAATAAGCCTACACATAAAAATTTCAATCTTTCCTAAAAAAACAATATATTCAAGATTGACGTTAAAAAACTCAATTTTACAAATCTTGCAAAATAACGAAGATATAACATTTGAGTAAATTAATGTGAAAGATAAAAATAATGAGTATAAACAACCTCATGAGTCGTTGTGCTCTACATAATTATTATGAAATAAACTTTAATGGCCATAATTATAAAATGCAAAACTAACAGAGAAATTTGGAACAGAACCTAAAATACTTCGACGAATCGAGCCAATGTGATATGTCACAAAAT